GATTTAAAGTTCATAGTGTCTGTTGTTGTTAATAAGGGGTGGCAACATTTTGGTTTCTCAAAGTCTTCTTTAAGTCTTCTTTAAAATTAGAAGGAAAATAAGAAGAGACGATATGGAGAAGACAATATGATGGGAAGTAAAATATCATTGTTTTCTTGAGATTGGGGGCAATAGTTTAGGATTGGGGAGGGAGGACATTTTTCTTAAGCACACAATTTGGGTTTTTTGTTTTCTACCTTAAAATGGCAGGAGACCATGCTGCTCTTTTAACTTTCTGGCATCGGACAAGTCAGTATTTCCTAAAAGTTTCTGCTCAGCCAGATTATTCTACTTGAGAACTGGGTTGAACATGTGCTATTCTGATGTGATTCAATTTTTAAAATCTATCTTCACCTCATAGCCCAGAATGGCCAATTGTAGCCTCTACTGAGGTCCACAAACTCCTTCCATAAGAGGACAACAAGGTTTCATGAGGGAGACTTAATTCTGGCTGAGCTTTTGAAAACTACCTCTGATTGATGGGCATCTTGAACTGCCTCCATTCATCTCTTTTGACACCCCTGTTTACAAACTACTTTCAAGGGACAACCCCGCCCCCCCTAGATTTACTTTGATGTCATGTCCTCTGCAGGAAACCCAGCTGAAAGGACCTAAGTTTCAGGTAGATCATCTTGCTTTAAAAACAGGTCATTGTATGAAAAAATGGGCTGCATCTTCATTTTAAAAGCTGCTGTTGTAGAAAATGCATTTTTATTTCTCCCCGGTAAATATATTCATTCCCAAAGGTATACAACTCAGAAAAGCTGTCATTACTACAACTGCCATTCCTCTACCAATTTTAAATTAGCAATGACAACAAAGGATTTTCCAAACAACTCAGCAAAAAATAATAATGAAAATAAGACTGCTAATATTAGTTGCAAGGGGAGAGGTGCAAACACGAATGATTCATAACTAAAAGGAATGCTGTATTTATATACTGTAACTATTTAAATATTTGTTTGTTTGTTTGGAAGAGTGGGGAGTAAATCATCAAATGACCTATTTCCTAGTTTTTCCTTATGGTGGTAAGGTGAGCAAATGGCTACTTCAGGTTGTTGATTCTGAGAGTTGGTAGGTCGTTATTGACATTGCCATTATATTTTCAATGATGGCATACTGACGAGATTTTCTGACACTCATCCAATTAGCTTGGCCAACCTGTTGGATACTAAGCACTTTAATTTGCTTCTAGAGGGCCAGACATATACGTGGACAGCAAAGGATCTTGACTGCTAGTCCTCAACTTATAACAGTTCCTTTAGTGACCGTTAAAAGCTACAATGGCACTGAAAAGAGTGACTTATCACTGTTTTTCACACTTATGACCGTTGTAGCATCCCCATGGTCATGTGATTTACATTTGGATGCTTGACAATTGACTCACATTTATAGCGGTTGCAGTGTCCCTGAGTCACGTGATCCCCTTTTGTGACCTTCTGACAAGCAAAGTCAATGAAGAAACCAGATTCACTTAAAAACCATGTTACTAATTTTACAACTGCAGTGATTCACTTAACAAACCTGGCCAAAAAAAGTCGTAAAATGGGGCAAAATTCACTTAACAAATTTTTCACTTAGCAACATAAATTTTGGGCTCAATTGTGGTCATAGGTTGAGGACTACCTGTATTTACCACAACATAATAAATCCATGTTTACGTAAGTAATACTTTTAATAACTTACTTTTGGATTTTATTATCATTATCACACCGAATCAGAACATACCCACATGCAATGCATGGTATGTTTTCCTAAAACTAATTTTAGCTAAATATGCTTCTGTTAATTTCTAATTATGGCTGCAAAATTGTTTATTTCAGGCTTCCAAAATTAATGTTGTAAAGGTGACGATCTTTTTTACACACACACACACACACACACACACATCTACTCTTAATTACTTCTAGTTTTATTCATTGCAACATCATAATTTAAGATATAAAGGAGGGTCATTAGGATGCTTATCACATAAGCAGAGATATGATGCCATTCCATTGTACTGTAAACTCACCCAAAAATTTACCAAACAGATTCAAAATGACTTTCATCCCACTCATGCTTTATAAATATCTCCTTCCCTTTTCCTAAATTTTGCAAGTCAGAAACTGTAAATACTACTTAGTCACAGGCTTCAACCAAGACACTGGTTCAGTCCATGATACCTGATCTAAATGATGATAAAATAATTACAATTAAAACATCTGGGAAAACATAAAAAAACATGCAAGTCTCAGCCAATACAAAACAGCCTGGGATCAATTTCATAATCAATCAGTTGAGCGCATATGTGCCAAGATGAAAATGAGATGAGCGGCTACAGGAATCCAAGCTTTGGCTGAGGAAAACTGGATTATTGTACATATTCTGCTGAACATACTGTTCAAGAAAGCATCCAAGTGCATGGTGGTAGTACAAACTGTAAAAGGTCTTTTGATCAGTATAAGCTACTCTAATCCATTTCCAGATTGTGTTGCAATTCAGTGAGCCCTTTCACTACTCTCACACACACCTCTCCAAATATAAAGGTAAAGGTTCCCTTCGCACATACGTGCTAGCCGTTTCTGGCTCTAGGGGGCGGTGCTCATCTCCGTTACAAAGCCCAAGAGCCAGTGCTGTCCCAAGATGTTTCCGTGGTCATGTGGTCGGCATGACTAAACGCTGAAGGCGCACGGAATGCTGTTACCTTCCCACCAAAGTGGTCCCTATTTTTCTACTTTCATTTTTACATGCTTTCGAACTGCTAGGTTGGCAGAAGCTGGGATAAGTAATGGGAGCTCACTCCGTTATGCAGTGTTAGGGATTTGAGCTGCCAAACTGCCGACCTTTCTGATTGACAAGCTCAGTGTCTTAGTCACTGAGCCACCACATCTCCATATATACACATCTATTATAGGTATCATTTTCAGTAGTGGGTCATTTTGGGGACAAATATATAATCAATACATCTCAACTGTATCTGAACCATGGCCTGGAATTGGTAAAATGAATAAGTTACTGGTTTTTCACCATTCAAAGTTTTGAAACTATTTGTTTCTGTTGTTTACTATAAAACAAGGAGATAAAAATATTTGTCGGACTCAAAACTGGCCACATTGAAGATACAATTCTATAGTGCCCGGCTATATAGATTGCTTATTTTCTTCCTTTCCAAGACCTTAGAGAGGAGAATTTAAATTAGATAATTCCTCTACCTCCCCTTCAGTGCTAGCATCTTTGGTGCCAGCCTTCTTAACAGTAGCGTAACTGGAATGATGTGGGAGGAGCTGAACATAAAACATCTTAAGTCCCCCAAATCTAAGAAAGGGGAATTTTGATAATCTATTTGCTTACAAAAGCAGAAAAAAATATTTTGATAAATTAGAGATCCAAGCATCATTCCATCTTCAGTTCTGCACTGCTGGCCTGTGACACAGATGGTTTGGGGTTTCCTAGAGGTCGAAGTGCTTCAAGGAAAGCTCCGTCAATCATTTAAGTTTAAATACTGTTTACAACACATAAGATAATAAAAGTTGCTAAAATCAGATTCTTCCAAGAAGTTGGCTGTTTGTGTCTGAAACATGTCCCTGCCATCTACGCCAAGTGATGTGAAATCTTTATCAATCTTTGTCCACCCAAGCTTCTCCACGAACAATAGTCTGTAATCATACAAGCATATCCAAAAAAGTGGAAATTCACAGGAAAATGGTAGTTTGGCCATCTTGCAAAACTTGCAAGCAAGAAGAGCAACAATTGTACTTTTATAAATAGAGAAACCCCTCCTTAAAGAATGTTGTTAATGCTCTGGAATATTTAAAGCATTCCAATTTCTCTAGTTAAATTCTCAAGAAGATAAAAATAAATGTGTTGAGTGATGAAAATAGTCAAAGGGAAAATAGTTAAAATTAAATCTATGAAATATTCTGAATGCTTCGGATGTATTCTACTTCTAAAGGATGTTTCTAGTAGCTTTAAATGTTACAGGAATACTGAATGCAATTCAAATGTGAGTTTCAATATGCCTGTATAATGTTCGTACAAAAAGGCCCAGAAAGCTTTTACTGTAAAATAAAGCATTTCAACTATTGGTAGTTTTTACTTGGGCGCTACCAATTACAAGACAGCCAACATAAATGCAAAAAGTAAACTTCATATAAATTAGTATAATTATGAGTATTACAAACATATAAATTGGACCACTGAATGTTCCCATTTCTTGTTCCTTGAAAAAGTTCTTGAAAATTTAGTCAGGGGCAGTGGAAGAAAACCATCTACCCTGTCTGGAACCTGCCTTAACAAAACCAGTTCCCACATATGTGCAATTGACTAGTAACTGAGAAGAACCTTTTACACGCTGATTCCCCCCCCCCCCCCCCCACACACACAGCATAGCAAAAACTCACGAATTGGTGGTAAACCTGACCTCAAGTTCAAGAGAAACACGTGCCGCCTGCCTAATTAGTGACGAGCAAAAGTGTCCTTCTAATTAAAATGCGTGTCCCATTAGAATACTGTTCCAAATATGCAGTTTGTGTAACTAGCCCTCCCTAACCTCTCTTCTGTGTGCTTCAGGAGGAAGCGGTCCTTAACTACCCTTTGGAGAGCCAAGAGATAGATCCGAGATTGAAGACTGCTACTTTAAGGATGATTTTAAAGCTGTGCTCCGAAGCAACCCACAACTAGGAAAGTGCTGTTCCACCGCCAGAGACAAGTCAAGGCTTCTTATGCATAAAAGCATCGCCGGAGCAGCCCTTGGTGGTTGTCCTGGTTTAGCTTCAGGGCAAGCGGAAAGAGGCTTAGAAAAGAGAGATTGCTTCCTTTCCTGCTCCCGCCATCTGGCCACTGAGTACCACTTAAATGGTTGGATCCGGAGAAGGGCACACTTGGCGCTCCGAGGATATTCCCCACTCCATCGGGGTGGGGTGGGGGGTGCGGGGTTGGAAGAGGCGGACAGTTCATCCCGTCCCTGCCGAGAGACCCACCTCAAAGAAGGTGATTCGGCTTCCCATCTCGCCGGGGATCCCGTTACGCGCCCTCCAGCTGCCGAGTTGGAAGATGCGGCCGGTGCGGGCGACGGCGAGCGGGTCTTCCTTCTTCCCCGACGATCCTCGCAGCTCCGCGGCTGCACTTTAATTGGGGGCCCGGCAGGTCCTCCGGCCAATCAGGAGATTCCCTACGCCCAGGAGGTAGCCTTGCAGGGACGGGTAGAGGAGGGAGGGAGGGGGCCCCGCGCTCCGCCGCCTCGCCGTCATTCCCTCCCCGTTTCCCTGCGCGTTGTTGTTGCTCTTGCTGCTTGCGGCCGCCTGGAGCCTGGAGGCGCCGAGTTGAGGTGAGACTCCTGAGGAAAAGAAGCGGGAATCAGGATCCGGCTCGGGATACGAACGTCGGCTGCTCCGCGGGGCGCTGGGACCCTGCTTGCAGATACACGTGCGCGCAGATAACACGCGTTTAACCAAGTGGTGTATTAAACATCAAGCCAGGGGTCTTCAAACTTGACAGCGTTAAGACTTGTGGACTTCAACTCCCAGAATTCCTTCTCTAGTCATGTTAGGTCGGAAATTCTGGGAGTTGAAGTCCACAAGTCTTAAACTAGCCAAGTTTGAAGACGCTTGCATTAAGCAGACTAAGCACTGCTTAGGGCACCAGGCCCATAGGGGGCACCACAAAAACTTTTATGTAGCCTAAGTTTGGCTTCGTTTGTACACTATGGACAAAGGAGGGGGGGCACCAAGTTTTGCCATTGCTTAGGGCACCAGTGAGCCTTCATCCGCCACTGCGTTTAACAGATGAACAGAGTTGGAAGGGACCTTGTAGGTCATCTAGTCCAGGGGTCTCCAACCTTAGCAACTTTAAGACTTGTGGACTTCAACTCCCAGAATTCCTCAGCCAGCTTTGTCTTAAAGTTACCAAGGTTGGAGACCCTTGATCTAGTCCAAATCCCCTCGCATCCCCACCCCTGCCCAAGCAGGTGACCTTGCCTCAGTGGTGGGATTCAAATTTTCTTACTACCGGTTCTGTGGGCATGGCTTGGTGGGCATGGCAGGGAAAGGATACTGTAAAATCTCCAGTCAGAGGTGGTTTTTCCAAACTACTCAAAATTTCTGCTACCAGTTCTCCAGAACTGGTCAGAACTTGCTGAATACTACCTCTGCTTTGCTTACAATTATATTGTCATGAAACAGAACTGTATGGACATTAGAATCTCTGACCCCTGTGCCTGTTAGAATTAGAATTAGAATTCTTTATTGGCCAAGTGTGATTGGACACACAAGGAATTTGTCTCGGTGCAAATGCTCTCAGTGTACATAAAAGAAAAGATACATTCATCAAGAGTCAAGAATCATAAGGTACAACACTTAATAATAGTCATAGGGTACAATAAACAATCAAATCATACTAGGAAACAGTCAATATAGATCATAAGGATACAAGTGACAAAGTTACAGTCATACAGTCACAGGTGCTTATTAAAGACTTGTTTGCTGAAATATTTTCCTACTCTGGAGTAGGAAGAAAATATACTTTATTGGGATCTATAAAGTACAAGTACTCCTCACTTAGGAGCCAAAGTTGGGACTGACAATTCAGTTAAGCAAAGCAGCTGCTAAAAGAAATCACAAATTCTTACTTCAGGTTACCTTGATTCATGGACCTGCAATTTGTAAATTAAAGGATTGGTCATAAAGTTGCCTTTTCATCAGTATTGTAATTGCTAAGTCACTTAATAAGGCAGTCACTAAACAAAGAGTACTTGTATGCCTTGTTTATTGCATTGTTTGCCCACTAGAACAGCTTCTCTCCAGAAATCCATATCACTTCTATCCTGATGATGTTAAAAAATTATTGGAAAAGAATGGCCAAGGGATAGAGTAGATGTTGAGCCTTCATAACACTTTTGCATTTTGTGGAGTGTTTCCTTGTGTATGATCTATGCTTTTATTTTATTGCTTAATTTTAAAGTCGAAAGTCACCCAGAGTTGTACAGAATTGAGCAGCCTTTGAATTGTGTAAAATAAATAAATAAATAAAATTTGGTACAATATCTTTCCATCACAGTAAACACTAATTACTATACATGTATTGTAGTGTCCAAGGTTTTTTGGTAGGCTCAGAAAGGGTGCTTTGTGGCCTTAAAGCACTTCCAAAGAGTAGCAAAACATACACTCTATGTGATGTGATTGCAATTTGGGTGCTTGACAACCAGCTTGAATTTACAACCAGTTGCAGCATCCCATGTCAAACATTAGTGATTTACCATGTATAGTATTTTGCTGGTTTCCGACAAAAAGCACCCATTGGGGAAAGTGAATTTGCTTAACAACCTCATGATTCACTTAACAACTGTGGTGATTTGCTTTACAATCATTGCAAAATTGAGTCTGGTCACGTGGTAACAACTTATGACCCCAATTCTGGTCCCAATTGTGGTTATAAGTCAAAGACTACCTTTAATGTGCAAATGTTTATTAAAATGGTGTACATAACTGTACATTTGGATAATAATCACTAATTAACTTTAAGGCATAAAATAGTGGAAATAACAATATTTTTGGTTCAACAATAGCTTCCCTAAAATCCCAAATATAGAAACACAAAAAGTTGTTTTTAAACAAAATCTCTCCCTCCCCTTCCCTTTCAGCTCCCTCAAATTCTTTGATGAATATATTAAGTCAAAGAATTTATGGGGCTGTATGGACCTTTTATTATTGACCATATAAAATATAAAATATAATAATCTAGGCGAAAGTATTGCAAGAAGTGCTGCACAAAACATATTAACACAAGTTAAGTACCTCTCCTTTTAGTTGTATTTCTTGGAAAGCTCCCATCTCTATTTACAGTAAATGCTGAGACCAGGATACAGCACCCAACATACAGTACTTTGTAGGAGCTGGGTGTTAAATCATATTACAAGTATTAATTTTGGATGAACTTTAAATATTGCTATTTTTTTAAATCTGAGCTTGTGGTAGCACATAGCTAACTTTAATTTCAGCTGATAGTAGCACTTCACCTCAAAAATTAAGTAGCTTGCTAGTACTCTGCCCGGGGAACACCAGTGCAACAGATGTGGGCAAAAGGTGCCACATGAATCAGGGAAGACACATGGATCTACAGCAAAGATCAGGAAGGTGCATGGGAATTGTGCCAATCTCTAGCACAGCACAAGCACAAGCACAGAGAAATTGGGGGGAAGGGGCAGTGGTGGTATTCAATTTTTTTTTACTACCGCTTACTACCAGTGGCTTGGTGGGTGTAGTGTGGCTTGGTGGGCATAGCTTGGTGGCCGTGGCAGTGGAAAGATACTGTAAAATCTCCATTTGCATCCCACTCCAGGGGAAGGATACTGTAAAATCCCCATTTCCTCCCCACCCCACTAACCTGCTTTCCAGCTCTGTTTTCCTGTGCAGGGCAACAAAAGAAGACCCAGCCGATCAGCTGGGATTCTGATCAGCTGGGACTCAGGAGGCAGCGAATAGATGGGGGCAGGGCCAACCAGAGGTAGTATTTACCAGTTCTCCTAACTACTCAAAATTTCCGCAAGCGGTTCTCCAGAACCTGTCAGAACTGACTGAATACCACCTCTGGGAGGGGGAGACTGCAATATTGCAATATTCCTTGCCAGCTTCCCCACTGCCAATGCTCTCTTGTCAACTTTGCTTGTGGGACCTTATCAGGGAGCATTAGGAATCACGATGGATTTATACTTCCTGCCAGGTTCCACATTGACTCGTGGGAATGTCAGCCAATGTTGGAAATGACCCAATTATGTGACTGAGACTGACTGCATCCAGTGTGGCCAGAACTATCCTATATTTCGCTTCCATGAGAGTAATGGGTCCTGACATTCTCTATGATCTTATAGACAACGATCTCTCATCCCTTGATTGGCAATCTCTATTCACTGGATGCAATACTGTTGAAGACCATTACAACATATTTTTACTTGAAGTCAAAAGAGTCATCAAACTATATGTACCAACAACAACTCCCAAAACAAAACAAAAAACAATAACAATAACAATAAGGAAACTTCAATCCAAAAAGAGATCACTCTGGCGGAAAAACAAATCTGGTCACGTTGCCAATTTCAAAAGCCGATACAAAAATTTATGCCACCAGATAAAGACCGAATGCATCAATTATCACATTAAACAAGAGGAAAACCTTCTAAGCACCAATTCCACCCGTGCTTTTTACAATTTTGTAAACAACAAACTAAAAGACTCAAGGTCTATCCCACCCTTGATAGGACCTGATGGTAAAGACTGCAACGACGACACCACTAAAGCCAACATCTTTAACACATTCTTCAGCTCAGTATTTGTAAACAGCAATGGATCATGCCCAGTATTTCCTAGCCGTACCACAGATAACAACAATGATCTAATACATATTGATTTTACAGAAGACAATGTTGAAAAAGCACTACGCAATCTAAAACCATCTCTATCTATTGGACCGGATGGAATATGTCCCTACTTCTTAAAAAAGCTATCCACTGCCATAGCCAAACCTCTAAGCATAATCTTTGAAAAATCTTTCAGGACCAGCTCCTTGCCTAACCTATGGTCACAAGCCACAGTCATCCCCATCTTCAAAAAGGGAGACCCAAGCCTAGTTGAAAATTACAGACCAATCTCCTTATGCTGCGTCACCTGTAAAGTCATGGAATCAATTATTAACCAATCCATCCTCCTCCACTTAGAAACAAACAACCTACTCTCTAATAAACAATTTGGTTTCAGAAAAAAACTATCCTGTAATCTGCAACTCTTACACTGCAAAAACATATGGACGACACAACTCGACCAGGGCAAAGCAATAGACGCAATCTACATAGACTTCTGTAAAGCCTTTGATTCAGTGGTACACGACAAACTACTCCTAAAAATAAAATCCTATGGTATCTCTGGACAACTGAATAACTGGATAGAAGCATTCCTGGCAAACAGACAACAAATGGTCAAAATTGGGAGCGTCCTATCAAATTCTGTACCTGTCAATAGTGGTGTCCCCCAAGGCAGTGTTCTAGGACCAACTCTCTTCATACTCTACATAAATGACCTCTGTGATCATATT